TATATATATATGCGTGGTTTCTTTATTTACTTTAGGGTCTCATTAATCCTGAGAGTTCTATAAACGACAATGTGATGAATCAACTCAGAAAGAATATTATGAATTGCGTTTACTTGCCAGAATGGGTTCACTGACTCAAGCAAACTCTCCAGTTTGTCAAATGCTAAAATATTTTGATGTTTAGCTCATTGGTCACTATTTTGAATAAGGAACCTCTAAGCACAATAGCAATAATTATTATTGTGAACGAAAGGATTAAATTTAAAAGGTCTGCAGGCCACGTTAGGTTAACACAACAACTGTTTGACCATAAGAACGGCTTAAATTTGATTAGCCTCGTTTTAAGGCCGATTCCTTCAGCGATCGCTGATAACATCCAGGGAAAGCATCTTCCCAGGAGATGGCACCGTACGAACAGAACTGTTGGCCCATCTGCAAGTACCTTGAGCTGGGACAAGCCCGAACTGTATCTAGATTGATCCCCATTACGTTATCCACTGTTGTATTATTATGATTAGTGATTAGACTACGAGTGTTCAATGAGACCGTGCGTGCATGTGAGTATAGATCTGAAAACCATGCTCGTACGAACCCATTTATTTTTAATACGCAGAAACACATATCCGATATGTTACTCGGCTGGCCTCAACCTTTTCAAACGAATGCGGCATCTAAACATGTGTATTTTAATAAAGCTCATTTAAACCTTGAAAAAGAACTTTTACAGTTTTTAACTTCACAACTTTGCTGCGCAACTCTATTAGATAACTGCGCACCTTAGAGCTATCGCTTGTTCTTCGATCATTCAAGTTCTATAAAAATGCCCTTCTTATATTCTTTTAATATTAATAATAGGAATAACTGTAGGGAATAAAACCAATTGGTTACGCAGATGTGATTTAAACGTAATCCAAGTCAGATTGAGTTAGAAATGGTACAACAAAAAAACATCATCAGTATTGAGCTTGGCAACACAAAAATGACTCTGTATAGAAGCATATTTTCTATTATTTCAGTGAAGAAAATCTACATCCACAAGTAGTGCCTTAATATTATATCCAAGCTATTGGGTTTTCCATTAGTCACGATCGTGGAACTTCAACTAAAAATGAGGAAAAACAAACAATAATAATAACAGTAATATCGTTAGTATAGGCAAAGCTATTGTACGACAAAGCCAAAAACGGCATGAACTCTCTCGCCTACTCGAGTTGCATATTAGATAAACGCCTTTGTCCGACTAGTCCATGGTTTATAACTAGGTTCCATTGTATTAACTTATTGTTGACTGATGTAAACGAAGCTACCAGGTTAAGCGGTGGGCGCCAATCGAGCCGTTGTCGTCAATAGGATGATGTTTCTGTTGATTCCCTGTTGTTCATCAAGCAAGTCGGGGTCCTTCCTCTCCGTGTTTGCGTCAGACAGACCCTTATCAGGGAATCATTTGCCTTTGTTTTTGCCCAGCGAATTCTTTTTTCTACCCTGGCGAATCTGCCGGGCCGGGCTGGGGCGCGCCACTGCGGTAGATGAATTTGTCAACTTGGCATCCCCGACCTAACCTACGTTTTCGCACAGCTTCCACCGCGCCGTATTCATCGAAGGATAAACGGACCGAGTCACCGGCGTTTGCGATCGCTATGGCCTGTCGACATATTGCATAAACCGTGTTATGATCGCCCATCTACACAATACGAATCTGCGCTACTGCGCGAACGAACGCTACTACGTGATATGTATAATTCCAGGTGTTAGCTAATAACCAGTCATAGTGGTAATGAGTAAGCTGTAAAAACTACAGGGCATTGGCATTAAATTCCCGTTAATTATGCGAGTATGCTGCCTCAAATGCGTGTCCTTCCCTTCAGCCTTACACCTACGCGTATCGCTTAGGCCGAACGAATATGCTTTTACTAGAGGATTTAAAAGCGGTCCGTTGACAATAGCATATTAGAACGTATTCATCATCATTTCATTGAAATATAATTATTCATCGCTATATTGCTGGAATGACGTCGAGCAGACAAAGGCAGGATGGGCATAGCCCCAGGGTGGCATAGCTCGTTAACGGTAGACAATGCCATCAACAACCACTTGGCGTCCTGAGTTCCTTGATAATGTAATTCGGCTGCTACATTCTTGCCTAGTATGGATGTAGTAATGGCATCAAAATTAGAATGCCTAGAAACCTATTATTAGAAACGTAGCTATGACTTATCAAACGTGAGTATCGTAGCGTTGTATGCTATGCATGCACGCTGATGCGCTTTTTGCACGTGCAAGACAAAGTGAGACAATACCCGTGTACTGGTAAAATTCTAACTTCCTTCATCGATGGTTTCTTGTGGCGGTCATAGTCAAAGGCGAATCAGACTTTATGCGGTCGGGAAATATGCACATATAGGTTACATACAGTTGTGCCTAAGGTGCGCTATAAATTAAAAAGAACATTTTCAGTGCGCTTTGGGTGTAGAGTTAGTTGATCCCGTAGGGTAAGGCCAATTGCAACGCATCTATTCATCATAGTTATTCCCGTGGGGGGTACTTGTCCGTAGGTCCCTAACAATAGAATTTAGAATTTTTCAAGAAAAGAAATGCTTTCTTTTATGTGCCAGAGAAGAAGCTGTAAGGTGCTGAATGGGTAACAATATGGTGATATTTTTTAGAAGGTGCTTTGCTGGGCAAATGGGCGTTTTCTAAATTAGTGTCAGGATATCACTCCTTTGGTGTCTTTAAACATGCCATAGACGATTTATTTAATGAAGCCATAGAAAAATTATATATGGGAATGCCAATGGTAGGTATATGGCTACCCTGAAGTTATCAAGACACTAAGACGGGTATGTAAAAAAAGCCGAGTACATTTAACAAATGTTAGAAAATTAGAAAATCAGTATAGCTCAACTAGTTTATAAGTTATTAAATTTTAGTGTCTGCTGGATTGGGTAATCTAAACCGCATTTACCTAGAAATTATAATATTATAAATGTTCGCTTGCGGCATTTTTACGGCCGGCCGCACTACCACGGTAAGCGCCTTAAGATATATTCGTCTGCTTTGACTATTAAGAAGCAGAGCATACGTTCGACTAGATTTTTGCCTGCTCCCAACTGCCCAAATATGCCCTATCTGTCTTCGATTGAGGTAGTCCGTCAATTTCCGAACTGTTAACAGGTTCCGTGGTCCATCACGGCAACTTCAACGCCCTCGCAAGAACACGGAGAAGCCTATGGTTCCCATACCACAACCTGAGGTTGTGGTTTCTGAACAGGCACGAACTCATAACAAAAATCAATTATCACCAAAATATAAAAGGTTTTTTCCCGGGGCTCTGAACCGGCCCATGAAACTCAAGCCTGGGCACATCTTCTTCTTGAGGAATCGTTTCGGGACGCATCGGATTTCAGTATTACTCTTCTTTACTTTACTTTTAGTTCTGCCGACGACAAACAATCTCTTGGAGTCATCATCTAATCCTGTCAGCACTGCTGTACGCGCTGAAATGTATTTTTCTAGAGGTTTATACGTTTCATGAATCCGCTGAATGACGAGTCGATCGCTTTTTGTGCCTGGGGCGAACGGACTTGAGCGGTGTTTTTTCTTTAAACCTCTATTATAAAAGGCGCGTTAGAACGTCAGTTCTCCTGTCTTGCGCATAAAATGACTTCGCGGCTTTTTTTCTTACTCTAAAAAAACATTCCCGTACAAATACGGCGGAAGCTTTTCGACTTATTGCCGCCAGGCATTTTGCCTCGGGGGGAACGAGCTTTAAAGATTTCGCGTTACTGAAACAAAGTATGCGACAATTCGTTTGTGTTTTCGAAATTTGTCTTTGCCTGGTTTACCCCAGTTTTGCTGGCCTTCGTTTGTAACCTAGAGACCAAGTCCTGTTCAAAATGACACAAGACGAGCCCGTCCGATATCCTGGACGTCACCAATTGGTAGACCAACTGTGATCGAAATGTTTAACTAGGAAATTACTGGCATTAACTAAGACAAAAGGCGGACTAAATTTGTGTAAAGTTACGTTCTTTAAAGTAGTAAAGTTTGGAGTAAAATTTGTAATGTTTTTATATCCGCGATCGCGACAGTTGCCGTTCATTTTGCAATTTTCAGATAACTTTCAATGATCACATATTCTGGTCAAAAACACTTCATTAATTAGTGATGAGGCCTAAAAGCTGTGTACTTTGATCCAAGCCACCTTTTACGACCTATTAAACACATATTTAATTTAAAATAGTGATTTAATTCAAAATAATAAAGATCAATGAAGATCTGTAAACTCTCGCTCAACGACCCTACCTATCACA